CTTCAAGTGCAAGAAAAGAGTCAATACATTAAGTATTCTAATCAAAAGAAAATAGAACAAATTTCAGTATTCTTAACAGTTTTTTGAAATATAGAATAAATGAAAGTTTGTGTGCATTAGGGTGGTCCGTGCTTAAATAGCAAAAAAAAAATTTTTTCAAGTGGAAGTCATGCCACCCCCTTGTTTTGTTACACCTACCATTCCTATTATGTGTTCAAAATTTCAGCCCCTTATCTTATATACAAGGGGGTGCTCATCAACTTTGAAATATCTGAATTTTATGAAAAAATCCTTAAAAAGAACTAGTCAGGATATTAAGTAAAAATGTAAACTATGTATCAAAAGTAAGTTTTTTTTATTCAAATATAGTATTGTTATAAACAAAGCAAAACTTAAAATAATATTAATTACAGTTCTTTTCTCTCAACCTAAAACTAAGTTCATTAGCACTTTTTTGGATGTTTCAGTAGAAACAATCTTTCTGTTCTGTTCCTTCCTCATTCTTAGTGAGTATCATATTGTAATCTTCAGATAGTTTTACACTCCTCTCCGCAATGTCGTTAACCACACGCAAATTTCTTATGCAACTTTTGCCTTGAAGGTAATCAACATTGTCACCCCAAGTCTCGGGAGATAATTGCAAGAAAGAGTTCTTGATGGTAAAGCAACCACAAAATAATCATCTTGCTTATCTTCTAAAGTGCTATTGGCACTAGAAGTGCTACTGAAGCTGAAATCAAGTTATAGTTCTTGACTTGACACTACTGAAGTTGAAGCATTACTTTTAGCGGCCTTTTCTATTAATTCTTCAGCTCTTTGTTTTCGTTTTAGAGAACGTTCTTTGGTCTTTTCCAGCTTCTTGTCAATTGATGTCTTACGCTCACCTCTTTGATCAATGAGAAACTCTCTGTCTTCTGCAATTTTGATTGAGTTCATGGCCTGTAAATGGGCAATATCAAAAAGTTTGTCTAGCTCTTCTGTAAACAAATGCTCTCTATTTTTCTGCGCTTCCAAATCTCTTGTTTTAAAAGAAGCCATTTCTTATGAATTTTTATAAGTTTTTCAACGCAGTGATTTGGTTGTCTGGTCGGAATACCAGATTTGCTCCACATCTCCATGACTTATTGAATGAGCATATGTGCAGAATCTTTCACATTTTTTGATTCATTTAATGTGTGGTGATAACGAAGTAGAACTTGCCAAAGAGTTGGAAATTGGTTAATTCTTACCAATGGCTCAAGATCCTGACATCCAAGTAGAAAAATGTCGTCTGTTTTTGAGTTGATGAACTCATTTTAATACACTGATTCACTCACAGTCACACTCACAGTAAATAAGTACCAAAGTTTTTTTACATTCATCTGTAAAACTCTTTAACAGTTGTATTTAAAAGTAGATTAGATTAATTTAACACACGAAACTGACCTGTAACAAAAAATCAACATCAAGCATTTTTCACAAAAATTTAAAAAACAGCACTCGATTGAGCACCGTCTTCTGCTACAGCTAGCCAACTGAAATTATACAATGTTATTGCTATGGATACATGTTACAAATTTACAGGATGGCCAAACTGGAAAACAAAAAAAAATTTTTATGGACCACCCTAGTATGCATGCTCCATATCATTTAGTATTACAGAAAGACACCATATAAGCCTATCACTGGAAAATACACATTTCATATGAGATAAACAATAAAAACATTGACATCATAAATTTCTTGTGTCAATCATTTTTTCCCTCAAGTCCTGCCAAAAATGATAGATTGAGAATCCACTGTATATATTTTTTGTTTTAGGGAATTTTTAATTTTTGACAACTAAGTAGCCCGAAAAGGAAGGTTGTGTCATCTTAAGATATATTCCAGAACACAGAAATGAATAAAGAGTTGACTATTTTGACAGATTTTGCTTTGAATTTTACTTACTGTTATTTCAAACAATTACTGCATTAACATCTCAGGTGATTTGGCTATCATTGTGCATAGACATTAGGCACATTTCATTTTATCATACTGCTGCCCATGGAACTCAATATTTTATATTTTTACAAAATAATGGTGTAATTCTCACTATTAAAATTTCAACCCATTTATATGAAGTATTCATGAATAGATGTAACACTGTAATTACAAATACAAGTTACCTTCTTATCTCTACCTTTCAATTGATTAACTGTTTTATTTTAATTATATTGCATTATACAAGCAAGCATTTTCTTTGTCAGTAAATGCCTATTTTGAAATAAAATTTCAATTACCAATAATTGGAACAAATTATAAAAAGAGAGAGGGTTTTTTTTGTATATTTTTTAGATTCATACCTTAATCTATAAAGGTATTAATTAATAAATTATGCAAATCTGCATCATAATAATAGAAAAATAATCACCACAAGTTGTCAAAAGATTTGATTCTTTATTTTTTTTTTACTAGACAAATTGTTTACAGAAAATCTAAATTGCAATATTACGGCTATATATTAACCAAAAGCCTGATATAAATACATAACCAAATGATCACTATTAATACTCAAGCTATAAATTCACTGATTTTAATAATTGTGAGATCTGAATAGCCCCGGGTCTAAAATAATAATTTAAAAATGATGTTAAAATTTTTGTCATAAAATATTCTTTCGTTTTGGGTGAGAAAAATAACGTTTTTCTAGCGTGGGAAAGCAGAGAAGAGAGTCACTTCCTTTCACGGAAGTTAGAACATCCTCTGTTTCTCCATTATCTGCTAAAAATCTCGCTTCAATGGGAACTGTTTACCCCTCATTTCATCCCCGTCCCATCCGTCCACTTGGGAAAATCTGAATACGATGATTGGTCACAAATGGGAAGATATAGGCGAAGTTCAGCTGAATTCAGGGAGTTCGTCAGGAGATCTCATAGTAGAAAGAAGTCTCCATATTGTCTCCCTAAGGCTATCGTCCTTAGTTAGGGAGTTCGTCAGAAAATCTCATAGAGGAGAGACGACTCCCATATTGGCTCCACACCACCCTTAGGAGTTCATCGGCAGACCTGAAAGAGTCAGGACTCCATACATTTGCTCTCTAAGGCCAACGCCCTTAAGAGTTCGTCTGTAGATCGGGGAGTGAAAGGACTCCATACCGCACATATGCCAGCAGACCAACGCCTCGTCATCCCCGAACAAGTTACTCCTAAGTTATCAAGGAAGTACTTTCACTGAATAAAAAGTCGACACTGCCAAGTAAACACGTCGTATGTTTAAGACTAAATTGTGAGCTCTCTCTGTCGTAAATGTATGTATTGAGAATACTACTCTCTCTCGACTCGGTATAGACTAAGAATAGATTTCCTTTTGTCGCTATTGATATTGATTATTCGTTCTTTGATTGACTGTTTTGAATTAACTGATTATTTCTTATTCTGTATTAATATTGTTTATTTGTTTATTAAATTCTATGTACTTTGTTTAAGAGATGTCTCTGAATTATTTCCTGAATCAGATCGACGGCATAGATTTCATGCGTGTGTTTATCCACGTTACAAGAAGTAGATAAACTGGTGTCGGGACCCTGACATAAGGAAGAAGGTGAATTCGCCATCACCAACTTCCGCTCTAAATTCTAATTTAATTATAAGACCCTCCGCCACTCGATTTCCTATTAAATAGGAAAACCATTCTTGTAGACGACCGAGACTATTCTCACAGAATAGGCCAGTAAGCAGCGTGAACTTAGTTCCACGTCCCAACAGATCTCACATAATTCATACTAACAAGTAAGTAATTTGCTACTAGAGATAAATATAATTTTATTATTAAACTAGCAGGTAGGCCCAGCGTTTCTCGGGCAAAAATAACAATAGCAAAGATTAAGATTATTATGTTATAGTCAACCTTATCCATTTTCACAAAATGCAAGAATTGGGTCCCCCTGTTTCCGGACTAATTATAAAATTTTTAGAGAAATGTTTATTAATTAGAGAATTTTTAAATGGGTCTAAAAATATGTTCGATTTCCCACAAAACGAAAAAAAACTGCATCTGCGTCTTGCACGTCGCTTTCTCTTAACAATTCCAATGTTATGTAATACTTCCGTTGTTGCTGAACACTTCCATTGTTACTTAACACTTCCATTGTTGATGGAAGTGTTAAGCCTTAATCCTGTCCCTCTCCCCCATAGGGAGGTACTTCAAAAAATCTCTTCTTAGTGTGCGTTCTCGTGATGTACCCTAACTGTGTACCAAATTTCAACTTTCAACTCCTAACTGTTTGGGCTCTGTGCTGATTATTATTATTATTATTATCATCATCGTCATCAACTCATCTTGATTATATATATAGATATGGCACCTACTAATTATTAATTTAGATAAGAGATGGCGCCTAATGTCTACCTCTAGTAGCAAATTATTTAGTATTAATTATTAAAATTAGTNTTTAGTCAAGGAAACAGGAAAAGTTACAAGGTGCCTTATCAGGTAAATATGGAGCGAAACAATCTCCTTAAATACTAGGGCTATAAATCCACTAATTTTAATAATAAATACTAAGTAATTTGTTACTAGAGGTAACATTAGGTACTATCTCTTTATTAATTTAGATAAGAGATGGGGCCTAATGTCTACCTCTAGTAGCAAATTATTTAGTATTAATTATTAAAATTAGTGGATTTATAGCCTGAGTATTTAAGGTGATCGTTTGGCNTATGTAAATTTTTATTCCTTTTCAATATATATACTATTCAATTTATCAATGACATGATATATATATTGCTTAATATATTAAATATTCTATGTTATTTATTTCTGTATAAAGAATAAAGAATTTCAGGAAAATTCCAATGTTATAATTTGTATATTTCTTGTCCTAAGTGTAATAACTTTATAAGCATTTTTTAAATAACAGAAAATTATGTTAAAAATTAATGGCTAGTATTGAAAAAATTTTTGATATTTAATCCCTGATGCTCAATTTTCAGCATTTGTTGAAATTTATTAATTTATTTTAAAATTATTTGTAATTTCAGATTAATTCAAATTCCATTATTAATAACAAACCTCTTCAAATTTTATATGGTCACAATGATTCTGTTACCTGTGTTCATATTTCAACAGAATTAGATTTGGCACTTTCTGGATCAAAAGTATGTGAAAGTAAAAGTATCAAAAGTTATTTTATAATTAAGTGATTAATTTAAAAAATTATATTTATTTTATCATTACATATTATTGTTTAATATTTTTAGGATGGTATTGTTAATATTCATACAGTTAGAGAAGGACATTATTTAAGAAGGTTATTTCCTTGTGATGATAGTGATATATTAAGAGAAGTAACACTTATAACTATGTCAGATATGGGGTACATTTGTGTTCATTATAAACCAAAAACAGATATTTTACCTGAAAATGTAAGTAATGTATTTTATATTATTTTAAATTAATTAAATGTTACATAGAATTTTATTATTCCATTGTATTCAATATATTGTTAAATTTTTATAAACACAATCATAACCATTCTCATTATAACTGTATATAATGAGTTTATGATTATTACAAGCAAATCTTCATTTCGTTATAACAAGCCCATTTTTGTCCTGTTATAAAGTCCCATTTTTGTCCTATTAATGAGTGGAAAAAATCATTATCACCTGTGTAAAACCTCTATTAAATTTTCAAAATATGCTTAAAGTGTTTTATACTCATTTCTACATTTATCCTTCAGTTTTCAGACTTTTTCATGATAAAGATGTTATATAATAAAAGAAAAGTGTCTTACAATTCATGTAAAAATCAAAATTATCTGAGAATTGAGCATAATTTTTAAAAAATGTGGAAATGTACAGAAAATTCAGAAGTTTGTTGTCTTTGATGGTATCAACACTGTAGAACAATAAAATATTTAATATGCATATGAATATTTAAGTGCACTAGAGAACAACCTACAAAAACTATAGAAAATACATTTTTACTGATGTCAAAGCATTAATACAGTAGTTTCAAATTCAAAGAAGTGCCACATTTCCAATTGATGGGCTAATATTTAAAACCCAAGCATAAAGTTTACAAAGGAGTTTAGACATTCAGGTTTCATTTGCAATAATGAATGAATTGATTGTTTCAATAACAAATATAATTACAGTAAGACCCCTGCTTAATGTGGGGGGTGCAAAGTCGATATTTCCTATGGCATCCATGATGTTATATTTTTTCCAAAATTGCACCAAACAAACATAGATTTAAAGAAAGTACACCTTTTTATCACCTTTTGCTGATTGGTTTGTGTTCACAAATAATCGTATTATATACGAATCAATGAAATGCTGTGATAATTTAAATCAGCATAAATTTTGAGCTTAGACTTCAAGAAGACCACGTTATATCGAATCAGTGTTAGGCAAGTCTTTCAAAATACTGTAATAAAAAGTCAGATGACTTTTTTGAGAAGAAGAAATACTGTAATATTTGAATGTCATAAACAAGTTAAAAAGTTTCTTCATTTTATTTTAAAATTTTATTGTATTGAATCATATAAAAATGCATTGACAAAAATTACAAATTTCATGTAGTAACCATCATTCACTACATCCAATATTAGTGATATATGGTAAATGACTAAAAATGGATATAACAAGAACAAATACACTTAGTTATAATGAAAATAAAGGGACAAGTTTGACTTTACATTGATATATGATTTAAACTCTTCAAATGAAATTGATATACTTTGTATGTTTTTGAAAAATTATAATTTTTCTAAACTAATTTTTAAAATTTGTTTGAGAATTTTAAAAGCATATGAATAAGTGTAAAATGTTCTATGAATATTTTTAATTGTCACAATATTTAAAACTTTATATCCTTTTTCCATCTCGTATTAATAACTTTCTTGATCTTGCTTTTACCTATAATTGTGTTGTATCTACCAGTTACGCTCAGGGGTTCAAATCTGACCATAATGCAAAATGTTTAGATGTCTTATTAAATACCAATAAACAGCAATCTGCCAAATACATTAGTATTCCATTAATATGTAAATTTTCGACTATAAATTCGTATCTTCTATTTTATTTTATTTCGTATACCTGTACAGGTATATGAAATAAAATAAAAATAATAAAAATAAAAATTGTTTTCTGTTAATCTTTGTAATATTATCTGTAAAACCAGTATAATAAGTCCTGATAATAGAAGATACGAATTTATAGTCGAAAATTTACATATTAATAAGAAAAAAGGACATTGAGGCAATTTAATTAAACATTAATATTCCAATTTGGGTCTCATTCAATGGAATGGAGGCCTCAAAAATCCTTTGCTCCATTGATTGGACCTTCCTCAACTCGCCTATTTCTCCTCAGAAACTTACTGATAAAATTAACAACTTGTTTTATGCCACTATTAAAAAATTATTACAATTCCGTAAAATAAACTCTTCTGCCAATGGATGGTTTCCTCTACACTTAAAGAAATTATCCAATATGGTCAGAAAACAATGGAGCAAATGGAAATGTTATGATAACCCTCGTGACTTATACTTACATAGAATATTGCAACAACATTATTACCAGGAACATTGTATTGCTTTTCTAGAATATTTTAACAGAACTGTGTCTAACTTTGCCGCTGATCCTTGTACTTCTGGCATTTCATTCCTAACTTTTCAAAAAAAAAACCTCCTCACAAAAATCTATTTCAGACGATAAAATATATGATATATTTAATAATATTAAATCTAGATATTTTTGCATTTTACCTGAAGCTAAGGTTCATTCCCTATCCTTTCAACAATGTAAACATAAATTCTTTATTTCTTTTTCCGATGTTAAGTCTGCCATAGATAGGCTAAACAACTCGAATTATAGTCCAGACTCAATTCTGGCTCAATTCTTTAAAAAGTTAAAGGCAATATCCGCTGTTGTTCTCTCCAAACTCTTCACAAGTTTATTAAACTCTAGTCACATTCCAAATCAATGGTTAATCTATAATATAAAGGTTCTCCCCAAAAAAGATAATTCCTTTAGACCAATAACTATTCTATCAGCCATGTTAAAAATTTTTGAAATTTGCTTATATAACAAAATCTGTACCCAAATTACCTCCAGATTCTCCCCTCATCAACACTGTAGCATCCATAACCTTTCTACTACTACTAACCTTCTTGAAACAACTTATACTATTTTGCAAAATGTTGAGAACAAAAAATCCACCTACATAATTTATATTGACATTTCCCAAGCCTTTGACTCTATCATTCCTAAATTACTACTTCAGACTCTAATTGATTATTTTGATTTAGATCCTGCTCTTTACTGTTGGTTAAACAATTAATACTTATCCAGACTATGTAAGATTCACATTGGTGACTTTGATTTTTTCCCTTTCTCTCCTATCTGCGGCATACCTCAAGGATCTGTACTAAGCATGTTTTTTTCTCAGCTTATATAGATAAATTACTAATCAACCCCCACTCTAAAGTGGCTAAAGTAAATTTTGATTTACTTTAATTTTGATGTCATTAGCATAGGCCGATGACATCAAAATTTTATCCAATGATCCCTCCTCTCTTCAGATCACTGTCAATTCTTTACGTTCTAATCTTACCAGTTATAATCTAAAAATCAACATCCATAAAACTGTCATTATGTGTTTTTCTCTACTTCGCAATCCCTACCATCCTTCCATATTTATTGATTCTTCTAAAATAAACTATGTCCAGTCTCATCGTGGCCTTGGTATCATATTTGATGAAAAATTAATATTCCATGATCATATCTCTTACATTATTTTGCAATTAGACGTGGCTTTATCTGGCGTTTTTGCAAAAATATCTCTTCAAAGACCGTACTCAGAACAATTTTCTTTACTAATTTTCAATCAATAGTCAATTATTGTTTACCAGTCTGGGCCATGGCTGCCCCTTATCTGATTCAAAAAATACAATCTGAATTAAATAAAGTTTGTTTTCTGATAAACAAATTTTGCAATTTACCCTTTACTGACAACTACAATGTGGCAAGAGTTCACCTTGGTCTTCCAAATCTTTCTGATCGTTTAAAATATTTTGACTGCATTCTCTGCTTTAAATACTTCTATGATCTAATTTTAAATTACTGGCTAGGTCTCCGCATCCCTACTGTAAGAACCTGTAATACATCATGCTTCTTCATCCCATTTTTTCGCCTTTCTCTTTCACAAAGATCGTTTTTTTACCGTATAGCATCTCACATACAGCCTGTTGAACCTTACCTATATCGTGATTTTAATTTTTTTAAAAATAAATGTAAATGTAGTTTATATAATATATAATGTAACTGTTGTTTTACTTTATTTATAATTTTTTTTATTTTATGTCTGTTATATCTTTTATATTTTGTAATATTATTTTATTTTATTGGGGATCATTTTTTTGTTATTAGGGGAGTGGAATACAGTCATCTCTGACGTTTCTAATTAAATGTACAGAACAAATATCAAAGAATTTGGTATCAATACATACTTCAGAAATTAAAACATTTTGCTGAAGTATATTCTTATGTTTATAATGCTTAGTCATATGTGTTTAGAAAATAAAAAACTACTTAATTTTTTTACACTTCTAATATTTGCAATTTAAACTTTTCTATATAATTTAATACAAAAAATTAATTTTATTTTAGAAATATGGAATGCTTCATGTTTTTACTATAAATGGAAAATATCTCTGTCATCGAGAGCTGTCTTCATCTATTATAGGAATGTGCATCTCTGGAAATTATTTGGTTACTGGTGATTCAAGTGGAATGTTAAATGTTTTTGAAATTTATGGGTAACTTTTTAATTTTCTTAAATATATTTAATATAATTTCTCTTTCTTATTTGCAATAGGATTTTTTCAAGAATATAAATAATATAATGTGTGGATAACCCATTTGTGTTTAAAAGGCAATTTGAAAATATATTATATTGCTGACTTTAAATTGCAGTTATGAACTTATCAAACAGCTTTTGTTTGTCTAAAGTCACTAAGAGCATATTTAAAAAATGTGAAAAATCTTTTGTATGCCATGGACATATATTCATCTGCCAGCACAATTTTTCAAAAACCATGTTTAGTCTGTTCAATTCATGCTTTAATTGATATTATTTGACACTCCTATTTTAATTTGTATTGTGAAAGCTGATAAATTTCTCATAATTATCATCCTCTTACATAATGATGATATTTCAGACAACTTTGATGGTTGTTTGATGTGATAATTGTCATCATAATCTAAATATATAAAATTACTTGTCCTGACTGACTGATTGATTCATCATTGCCCAGAGCAAACCGCTTAACCTAAAGAGATGAAATTTGGTACACAGTTAGGGTATGCCATGAGAATGCACACTAAGAAGGGATTTTTGGAAATTCTGTGGGGAGGGAATTTCCAAAAATCCCTTCTTAAAGAGAAAGGGAAAGGATTAAGGCTTAACCTGAAGAAAGGCTTCTACTGTACTATTTTAGATGCAATTTTTTGTTTTCAACTACATTTAGTCTTCATTGAGTACTTAGGTGTATTAAATTGATAACACTTCAGACATTGTTATAAATATTTTTATATATTTTTATTTTTTGACCAAATGTTTGAACCGTTTTAAATTCAAATTTGTTATTGTATATTGGTTCGATTATAGAACGATTATAAACGTTCCAGAAAATTGATGAATACCTGAAAGAAGGTGAATATTAACACTAATGACATCTTTTTTGGTGAATTTTTCTGTTTTGTGAATCACAATCATATTTTATGCATTAAACTTTACCATTAGTGAAAAAACATTTACCACTGATCAGAACAATGAATTTTTAGATATAAGAAAGAGATTTAAATGTGACAAGATTGTAAGAATATAATTATAAATTATATTTTTCCTATTATAATTGATTTTGAAATTTTGTTTTCAAATAATAAATTGAAAAATAAACATAAAAAAACAATTTGCTGTTATCAGCTAACATGTTTTAATGATGTTTGCTATGGTTTGTGTATGATAAGTCATTTAGCTGTTCTCATTTTGTGAAATGGCAGTGGAAATGAAATTTGCTATTCAAAAATAAATCATTTTCACATTCTACATTCACTAGGGAATGCATGAATATCTATTTCAACTAAGTTTAAGTTTGCCTCGGTGAATAAAAAATGAGCAGTTCACCTTCCAACCTGTCATTGAATATTGTGGACATTAACATTTATTATCTTTTTGATTTATTTTATATTTAACTTATCTGATGTTTGTTATTATTATTATATACTTCATTATAATAAAACAGAAATGAAATAATAAAATTACATGCCTAGTGAAAGATTAAAAAATTTATTTACAGTTTTTTTGCTTCACTTATTTTATAATTACATCTGCAAGAAAGTATAATAGAAAAACATTTTAATATCTAAGATGGTATCTTCTAAACTGTATACAATCAATAGGCTGCTCCAAAGGCATGAGGACAGCCTGTATTATTGCATTCACTGGAACAGGTCATGCAATAATACACATCTATACTTAACTACAGCTGTACTGGATCAAATGTACTAGAAATAGAATGTTTTCAGTTTACACCTAAAATCTTTGTCAGGCACTATCTGATTCAAACAAGGAATAATTCAAATCTGAATGTACCAATTCAATGCTGATAGACAAATTATGTAATTAATCATAAATTTAAATCATAATGTGCTAGCCAAGCATGAGATATGCATTTTTCTTCTTTAAAATTGATGTAGTGACCATTCTTGTCCACTTTAATTAATTAATTAAGAGAGTTAGAAGTCCTTGAAATCTTTAATTAACAGGTGGTTTTTAAATTGTTCTTTGAGAGTCATAGAGAGAAGAAAACTACTGGAAACTTATCATCTTTCAAGATCCAAGTTTAACTACCTATATTGAATCCAATAATAATTTCACTGTATTAAACTTTTTTCTGTCTGATTTAAAAAAGTAGGTTCTATTAACAATTAAAACATAAATTGATACATAGAGCATGAATGGGAGTAGACTAAAGGCATGGCAAATGCATATGTGCTTTTGGTGATTTCTGGAAAAATTGCAATGGCAGCAAACAAAGGATTTTCCGTGTTTTCTAAAGATGTTCTTAAAAATGAAAAAGCTGTTTGAGCAGTTTGTAACAAATTACAAGTTTAAAAACCAATAGGTAACCTACACCTGCACTCACACACTTTTTTACAGATAATCAATGAGTTAATTGCACAGAATTAAGATATAGTTTGAGGCAAAATAAAATTTTTACTTTCATTATTTTATTTCTTTGCTTAAGAAATAATTTCCTTATTTTTTATTTGAAAACTTACATCATTTCTGTTACTAACTTATTCAATCCCAGTTTTTTCTAATCTACAGGGTGTCCCACTCGGGAGTACAACTTTAAAAATGTGAATTACTCACGAACGTGTGAACGTAAAGGCAAGCTGTAAGAACTGAACATACTTGTATTTAGTGGAAAACAAGTCCACATTATAAAAGGTGCTGAAAATGTCCTCTCCCAATGTCCGTGCACAAGAAAATGTGATGCTCCATATTTGAGAATGTCCTCTGCAACATGTCACTGTTGACGGCAGCAATTTCATACTCAATGTTTGCTTTCAGTTGTTCAATGGTCCTGGGTTTGCTTGCATACACCTTGCCCTTTAAATATTCCCATATAAAAAAATCTGAGTGAGTTAAATCGGGTGATTGAGGTGGCCCCAAACCTTTTGAGATCACCTTGTCTCCAAAAAATGATTGGATCTCTTCCATACTGGCATGAGAGGTATGGCACGTTGCCCCATCCTGTTGAAAGTAACCTTCTTGAAATTCATAGTTGTCCAGTTGTTTCACAAATTCATCAAATATGGATGAGTATTGGTCAGTGTTCACAGTCTCGTCAAAGAAAATTGGATCAATGATCCGAGAACAAGAAATCACGCACCACACTCCGATCTTCTGATCATTCTAATGAATTCTTCATTAAATAAGGAATATTTTGAACCTTGTTGCATGATGATACATGCATGTGTTCGTGAGTAATTTGCATTTTTAAAGTTGTACTCCCGTGTGGGACACCCTGTATTTATTGAAGACCATCAACATGATGGTCTTATCTCACTAAATCTATTATAAAGGCTTATTTTTTTGTTTTTATTTAATTCTTTAAACACAATTCCATATCAGGTAATGTATAATGTAGCTTATATGGTGTAAGGAGTACAAAATGGGGAATTTCATAATTTTGAACAAGTAATTTGAAAGTAGTGAGAACATGATTAGACCTATTCTAACTATTATCATATTGTAAACATAAGTATATTCATTGATAAAATTAAATTTTAAAATAGTGTTTTAAATGAAAACTCATGCAGGGTGCACAATAGTCTTAAGTCATTTAAATAACTTTTTGAATGAAGATATCTAAAGCTATGGAAGTGAGGTACAGTCGACCCCCCATAACACTGTTGATTATTCCGTTTTATATGAATTCCATGTTGTATGAGTCACTTAGATTTTACAAATATGTGTGTCAGGCTGTGAACGACACACATATTTGTAAAATCTAAGTGACTCATACAACATGGAATTCATATAAAACAGAATAATCAACAGTGTTATAGGGGGGATCGACTGTAATTAGGATAATTGAGAATTACCAATGTCACTTTTTAATGAAATGTATGTCATTTTATTGAGATTACCTTTCTGATAAATGTATTGAAACTTCTTTCTGCAAAATTCTATATTTCTATAAAAAATCTGAAAAAATGAGTTTACTTTATTTAAGCTGGATTCATACTAGCACTGCTAACGCCAATTTTGATGGTCCAAAAAGCCAGTTTCAGGTATATGCCAGCCTGACGAAACAAATATTCGTTCACACTTAAGATGACTGCCATTGAATGTTGTTCCATATAGCCAATAAAACTAAGTGTTTTATCGAATTCATATAAAACAGAATAATCAACAGTGTTATAGGGGGGTCGACTGTATTGGTATAGTAAAATGATCATGTGCCTGATGGTAGCACCCTTAGCAAATAAAATTAGAAAATTAGCATTACTATCTCTGACTGTGAGAGATACAAAAAAAAAAGTAAATGAGAAAGTTGCAGAGCGTTAACAAATTAGTAGGAAATGACATTTCATAGAAACAGATGATACAAATAAAGGCTGGAAACTCTATACATGATGCTAAATTTATATATGAACAGTACACTCTAATATGCAAAAGATGGCTGTGATGTGACACTTCCCTCCTGCAAATAAAAGCTCAGGTCTGGCAATGTGCAATCAATCATCAGTTAACAGAAGACATGATATGCTTCAAAAAACTAACAAAAGATTACAGCAACAAACAACGAACAACAAAAGATCACAAGCTATACATAAAGAGTATTATGAGATGGTGCTGCTATACAGCAAATGTGGATGAAATGCTAGGAAAGCTGCATGAACAGCTAAGACAGCTATTTGACAACTAAGAGAGACTAGCAGTATTGTAGCTCATTCTCAAAGGGCAACCCAACAGTATAGATATGCAAATGTATCTCAGTTTTGTATTCATATTATTCATTTTTGTGAAATGTCATTCCCTACTAATTTAGTGATGCACTGTAATTTTCTTATTTATTGAGCTGCAATTTGAAAAAATGATAGACTTATAAATTCCCACTGTTGCTGTCTGTCCATCTTTCCTTAATCTCAAGAAAGATAAATGAAATTCAAGACCAGATATGGTTAGCTTAGGGGCAGGAGGTCCCAATTAACTATATGTGAACTTTTTATGCAAACCAGAAGTCATGTTATTTCAATTCAAAAATTTTCACTTGAAAGGATTAGATAGATACCAACACAAGTCCATTGCTAACAGAAAAATATGATGTACAGGGGCAAAATACTACAGTATTAATTTGAAGTGGCAAGCATTTATTTTAAATTAAATAATTTAAAAATATGATTAAAAATTGTAGCCCAGCATTGTGACAATGTCATAAAAACAGAATAAAAACAAGCAACTATTATCTCTTGTAGCTTTTGAGATAAGAATGCTAACTTCCAATTTTTAACACTAGGGACTACTGATGGTCTGATCTGTCAAGTGTATACTTTTCCATATCAGTATCTCACTTCCATAACTCTAGTTATCTTCATTCTAAAGTAGTATCTTAGGATTGTACTATGCACCATATATACATATTGCCTTGTAATCATGCTATTTAATTTTTATCTACATTGAGATTTGGAAGTGTATAAAAAAAATATTTTATGAATATTTTATTCTTAACTAATATATTGGTCTTTTTAGATGAGCCTTGAAAAACATTCTCATCTAAAAAGTATTAAAATTGTTTAAATTTACTATTGTGATTTATTTAAAATAGAGCTATCACAAAACATGGATTTAATTATAGAGTAAAATACACAATTATTTTGTACACAAAAATTAGTAATTTAATTTCAAATTTATAAAATTAATATTAGTATCATTACAACAGAAATTTAATATATAAGAGGAAGATAATGTCTGCATAAGAAATTGAGCATGAAAGCATATTTTAATTATCAGAAAACTAGTTATTAAAGTATTATTAAATTAAATTAAAAATACATTGATAAAAATATAACTTTTCTCAACAGGTTGAAATCTGCCACATCATTATCATTGCATATACCCATCTTAGCAGTAAGTGTTACTCCAGGAAATACACATATATTAGCAAGTCTGCAAGATGGTAAATTAATAGTAATTGGAATAGCATTTACTCCAGATTAAAAATATCATCTACAAATTAAAGTAACCATTCTATCATTCTTTATTTGTGATTGCTCAAGAATTGTTTATTTTTTATAGTCCTTCAGGAGAATTGATAATATTTAATTTTTTTAAGTGAGAATTCAATTAAAAATTATTTTAAAAGTAGTGATATAAACTGAAAAATTCATATTTTCTGAAGTGTATTGAAATTTTTAATTAAAAAAATTGTAAAATAATGTTTTTATGAAATAACCATAATAATTCTGTGTTGTTTGAACAGAATATAATAGCTTCTATAAATATTTAATTATGTAGCAGCTTAACCACAATATTTATGGGACCGAACCAATCTTTTCCAGAGTGAAAAAATAATTTCCAGACTATATATATATATACATTCTTGGTTATTTCTGAATTAAGTACTTATTAATTTAATATAATATAATACAGTACAATTTTTTGTGCTTTTTTGTCAATCAAATGAAAAAAAGATATACAATGTAGAGTTAAGAATTATTTCCTGCATAGTAAATTCCTCCATGAAAAAAAATTTTAACTGAAAAATACACATCTGTATACTTATTGTGTTCATGAAAATCTATTTCTATCCAAAAAAAATTAAATTTTTTATAAGCACAAAAATTCCAATACTGTAATGTGTGTCATTATTTAATTCAAATATTTTCTCTATAATATATTGAAATGATTAATTTGATATAAAAAGTAAATGAGTTTAAAAAAAAACAAAATAAAACCAAAAATTTGGATAAACTACCCAGTTTATAAAATAAAAACATATCTTTCACAATCTGCACTACAGTATATGTATTTATGAACATTATTATATTTGGTAAGTATTTACCTTATATAATATTGTAGGTCATGTGATCTTTCTTAAGATTAATGATATTCTTAGATTAAAAAAGTATATACAGTAGTACAGTACATGGTCATAAATTTTTCATAATTTCATATCATATGATGGGGTAGTTAATTAAAATTGTTATAAATAATAATGAATAGGTCAGAATGTAAATAAAGACTTTAGTATTTCTATATATCACAAATACAAGTTTGCCAATATTGACACTTGGCCAGAATGTCATAAAGAAAAGAGGGAGAAAAAAAGATTTAATTTTACAAAGAGTGAAAATACTATATTTATGTTGTTGTTGTTACTTTTATAAAAAAAAATACATAAATTGTTTATTATTAAAATATTTTGATTTAAATATTAAATGTTAAAAAATATATTTATTAATAATTATTTTATTATTTAATCAAGAATTGATGCTATGCAATNGTGGAAATGAAATTTGCTATTCAAAAATAAATCATTTTCACATTCTACATTCACTAGGGAATGCATGAATATCTATTTCAACTAAGTTTAAGTTTGCCTCGGTGAATAAAAAATGAGCAGTTCACCTTCCAACCTGTCATTGAATATTGTGGACATTAGCGTTTTTGCAAAAATATCTCTTCAAAGACCGTACTCAGAACAATTTTCTTTACTAATTTTCAATCAATAGTCAATTATTGTTTACCAGTCTGGGCCATGGCTGCCCCTTATCTGATTCAAAAAATACAATCTGAATTAAATAAAGTTTGTTTTCTGATAAACAAATTTTGCAATTTACCCTTTACTGACAACTACAATGTGGCAAGAGTTCACCTTGGTCTTCCAAATCTTTCTGATCGTTTAAAATATTTTGACTGCATTCTCTGCTTTAAATACTTCTATGATCTAATTTTAAATTACTGGCTAGGTCTCCGCATCCCTACTGTAAGAACCTGTAATACATCATGCTTCTTCATCCCATTTTTTCGCCTTTCTCTTTCACAAAGATCGTTTTTTTACCGTATAGCATCTCACATACAGCCTGTTGAACCTTACCTATATCGTGATTTTAATTTTTTTAAAAATAAATGTAAATGTAGTTTATATAATATATAATGTAACTGTTGTTTTACTTTATTTATAATTTTTTTTATTTTATGTCTGTTATATCTTTTATATTTTGTAATATTATTTTATTTTATTGGGGATCATTTTTTTGTTATTAGGGGAGTGGAATACAGTCATCTCTGACGTTTCTAATTAAATGTACAGAACAAATATCAAAGAATTTGGTATCAATACATACTTCAGAAATTAAAACATTTTGCTGAAGTATATTCTTATGTTTATAATGCTTAGTCATATGTGTTTAGAAAATAAAAAACTACTTAATTTTTTTACACTTCTAATATTTGCAATTTAAACTTTTCTATATAATTTAATACAAAAAATTAATTTTATTTTAGAAATATGGAATGCTTCATGTTTTTACTATAAATGGAAAATATCTCTGTCATCGAGAGCTGTCTTCATCTATTATAGGAATGTGCATCTCTGGAAATTATTTGGTTACTGGTGATTCAAGTGGAATGTTAAATGTTTTTGAAATTTATGGGTAACTTTTTAATTTTCTTAAATATATTTAATATAATTTCTCTTTCTTATTTGCAATAGGATTTTTTCAAGAATATAAATAATATAATGTGTGGATAACCCATTTGTGTTTAAAAGGCAATTTGAAAATATATTATATTGCTGACTTTAAATTGCAGTTATGAACTTATCAAACAGCTTTTGTTTGTCTAAAGTCACTAAGAGCATATTTAAAAAATGTGAAAAATCTTTTGTATGCCATGGACATATATTCATCTGCCAGCACAATTTTTCAAAAACCATGTTTAGTCTGTTCAATTCATGCTTTAATTGATATTATTTGACACTCCTATTTTAATTTGTATTGTGAAAGCTGATAAATTTCTCATAATTATCATCCTCTTACATAATGATGATATTTCAGACAACTTTGATGGTTGTTTGATGTGATAATTGTCATCATAATCTAAATATATAAAATTACTTGTCCTGACTGACTGATTGATTCNAAAAAAAAAAAAAAAAAACGGATATTAGTAGCAGGGACTGTAATTGCTGCTCCCTTGCATCCCCCAGTTGCATCACTACACCACTGCTCCTCTGATTCTGGCACAGATCAGAGGAGCAGTGATTCTGATTCTGATTCCTTTTCATTGACTATGATAATAGCTCATTCTCAATGTTCACATGTAAATTTTCTGATTCAAAGAAATGTATGAACTATTTGACTTTTTAAAAATTCATGCACTCATACTAAATCATTCATTGTATATTTTGAATTTTATATAAAGTTATGACATATATATTATTAACATATATTAAGTATATGACATATATTAAAAACAAATTAATACAAAAATAAACAACAGCTAAAAGTTATTTCAAGTATTAAACATTTAAAATTAATAGATTTTTTTCAACTACAAAAATTTCCAAATAGTTTTTTTTTCTCAATTATAAGTTATCAGTCTCAAATGTTAAAACAACTTTGGACAAAAAATTTTTTAATTTTGTTAATTTAAAAGAAATTAATATTTAATAATTTGTTATATTGGCATTTTATGGGAAACAATTATAGATTATTGACCATATTAAAAATAAATAAATAAAATCGGTGGGTTATCGAATTTTGTTTTATATAAATTAAGACATTAATTTTACCGTAATATGGAATTTTACACAAGAGCAATAAATGTTAATTAGTAGCAGAAAATATGAACGAAATAGTTAAAAGAATTAAGCTATTCGAAATGACTTTTTGCATTAATTTAAAGAACATTATAAAAGAATAAAATTAAAGACGTAGCGAATTAATATTCTTAGTACTTTAATTATTTAATTTTTTCATAGTGTGTTTAAATATTGTTAAACATTTTCAAAATTCGTCGAGAGATGGCGTTGTCAGAATTTTAGTTTTTATATTTCAAATACTAAATTGTCATAATAGAACTTGAGTACATCATTTTTTCACTCTAACTGATTATTGCCTACTTTTGAGAATATAGCAAGTGTTCATCATCTATTCCTCGATGTTACGCCTGTTTATCTTAATAAGATACTACTTTATAAACCACTAATTGATAATTAACTCTTTATGCAATTAGATAACTTTTATAATTTATTTTTAATGTAGAATTTTTTCCTTTATTATAAAATACAAATAATAAATTTTAACGAAGACTTCCTTACGAAATTACTATTCTGATCGTTTGAAATCACAAATTTAAAAAATAGCTCGTAATTTTTCACTTAGATAACGTTCAATCCTATGTTTTAATTTTTAATTAATTAAAATCTTACGCAAAAATGGCATTCTAATTTCTATTTTTCATGAAATTCGATGTATAAAGTAACAATTGAATTGTACCTGTATAAACGGTATATATAGGCTAAACCTTACCTTGTTTGGTTAATTACCGAATTTGGTTATTAACCAAATCTTTGTTGGGAATATTTGGATAAATCCTTAAACTGGATTGGTTAATCTTGTATCCCATTGCGTAAATGTTATCGTGATAAAGTTATATCCGTCATTAATATTACTTAATTAACCACTAGAAAGGAACTAAATTTGAATTTGATTTTCAAAATGACCTTATAAAATACTAAATTCGGAGTGCGACGTTATTTTTAATTCTGTGGTATTAATTTATATCTTAAACGTGTATTTATTATCTCCCATCTACAATATTGGTAATTTAATTTAGCTAATTTCTTCTAAACAAATACGAAATTAGATCACGGGGATTTACACGGAAAAATAAATATTTTAAATTGCTTTCTTCTGAATTTAGATTAAACCTATACACTATTTAAGCATTTAAAACAGTACAATTATTTAATTCATTAAAGTAATTTGTCATAAACTTTACTACTTTCACTATCGATTATTGTAAACCTTGTTAGTATTGCATCTCGTAAATATATAAATAATCTACACAATCAATACAAATTATAATGTATCAATATAAATTAAATTCTGGTATAATATTACTTTATTATATCTTTTAACATTTAAAAGAATTAAGTCAATAGAGATTTATAATTAAGATTAACAAATCGTTAAGAAAAATAAATTATTAATAATTATAGAAATTATTATTGCATCGTTTAAAATAACTCAATAAATTAATTAAAAAACTGTTTTAAAACAAATTTTAAAGTTTGCTTAAAGGGAGAGAATTTATATCTGCGCTTTATTCAAATGATAATCACGTTTTAAACCAATATTTATTTATTCTTTCGTTTTCAAATTCCATAAATTTATCTGAAAAAGCAAAAAAAAAGTAAGGAAAACAAAAAAAAAAAACAATATAAAATTCCATCTGCGTTCGATTTTTGCAACAGGTTAAAATTTTATCTTGTGTTTTAACATAATCTCCGATATCCTAGTAGTCCATATACGTCGAAAAAGATAAGAATAATTGATAAATATATTACTTTTATCGATAATTTGTGAAAACAAATACGATTTAAAAAAATTTTTGAACTTAAAAACTTCAGAATTATTAGGTTTTTTTAGTAGTGGGATGCGTATGTAAATAAAGAACACGTGCCGTGTTTCTGAAAGAACAAATCGTAACGATAACATATCCCTTGCATAACAATATCGAATACAAGTGTTTTTATAGGATTGTATGCAAAGAAGCAGCTGCAGCTTCCCAGTAAAAGTAACAGATTGTCACTCGGTTTGCATGGCTAACCTTTCAATAATTGCCTCTTTGCACGTCTCATTCGAGAGTCGTGTCTTTTGAGACTTGTCATAATAAATAATAACGAAGAAGCGCTACAATAATAATCATCATTTTTATTGTTAGGATGATTCGATTCGTTTTCCACTCTCCTTCATTATGCTCTAGTATAAAGACAATTTGCTTAAATTAGTTAAGCTCTTGTTCGAAGTGGCGCCATCTAGTTTATAAATAAAAAAAAATTATTTAAAAGTTTTTTTGTTTATAAATTTTTTATTAAGTAATATAATTTTAATTTATACTCTATTTAAGCTGAAACGGGATTACATTTTTTTAAAAGTCGTATTTATATATTAAGCATTATTTTCGAAGCAAAAAAAATTTCTCATTTTGATTTAATTGATTAATAAAAAAATCCACTCAAATTTCTAATAATAAACTCGAAAAACTACCAAAAAAAGAGCCATATTATTAAATTTTGACGCATAAATTATTTCGGTCGATACTTGCTCGAGTTTCTTTAGTAAAATATAAAAAAAGAGGAAAAGAAAAATAAGTTTGTAAACTAGATAAGGAACGTGCGCCTCCATA